GCAAGTTATAGAGAAGGAACTATGTGCCAAATTACAACTGATTAACAGTTTTCAGGTGAAACTGGTCAAAATGTGGCCATTTTTCAATTTTTTTTTGGCTGTCAAAACATGTCCCTGTGTTCAGTACTTTGAAAACAACTGTTAGAAATACAACAGAACAGTCACTTCTACACTTTATTTTTTACTTTTTGTTTAAGGTTTGTATTGGCTCTTGCTCTATTAGTGGTTGGTGTAATTACATACTGGATTTTTTTAGAATTGAGCATTGTTGCTTGTAGAATTTGTTTCTGAATTCAAAAGCACAGGAAATTCTGGTTTAAAAGCAAATTAAACACCTCTTCAGAAAACCTTGTTTGGTAGCCATAAGACAGGTTATTTTTAGGCACAGCTGGAGTGAAGTGAAGGTGATTGCACATCCCATAAGATCACCAATTCCTATCTCTTCTAGACATCTGTCCTTGCTTTTCTACTTCTAACAGCTCTGTGCGTGCCTCGATGCAGAGACAGAGAGCACCGCTGTGGTTGTACAGAAGAGATACATTCGGTGCATGTAAGTTATTGTATGTAAGCAAATCTCTTCATCTTTCATAACGTGGTCTCTATAGAGCTCATGAGTAAGACAAGAGTGATCTTCTAAAGGATAGGTGGGCGTTGGCCGGGATAATATGTTCCTTGAATAGGGATGTCTGCATTGCTGGCTTGAAAATATCTTCTGCTCTTTATGCCTGAGGAGGAGAATGATGATTTCTGAAGTCTGAGCCTAACTCCACCTAGCAGTGCTACAGATTTCAGATAACCAACCATTACTGCGATATGCGTGTACGTGGATCAGGACACCAGTAATCCAACATTCTACTTCTTGAGTGAGCCCTAAGGCACTTAAAGCATGATTAATCTCACTTTGACAGTCATTAGGCTGAGATAGCCTGACGTGTGTTTGTCTCCAAAAGCTGCTTTCTCAATGGGTTACCTGTGGGCAAACGTAAGTGGTGCTGCCTTTAACAGCTGGCCCACATAACCTTGCCCCTCAAGTATTCCTGAGAGACTTCTGGAAACATGGTGATATTCCTGACTGGTGTGGAAAACCACGCAGTGCTGGTCAAATCCCAGAAAAAAATCATAAAAAGTTGACTGTTAGAGCTGCCGCCCCCAACCCAAAACAGATCAGAAATATCCCTCCCTCCCAAATACCAAAGAATAGTGAAAAAGAAGCAAGGCAAAAGGAAGAAGAAAAGCACCACGTTTCGCCTTGATTCAGTTAACCAAAACACACTTTATGGTATTCATGGGTCCATCTTAATTTGCTGATATAGGCAATGGGACGAGGCTCTGCAGTCAGAGGAGGAGCAGAGACGCAGCTGGAGCCTCCTTTTTGGGATGTTGGGCTGAGTCTGCAGCACATCCCAGCGCTCCTGCCAGCCCTTCCAGTCTGGAAGATGTGTGTGGCCTGGCAGGTGACACAGATGCCTGTGGCCTGGCAGGTGGCTCTCCCAGCAAGGCGGCTACAGGAAGGGTGTTTTCTCAACCAGCCAAGAATAAGGATATCATTTTAAAGAACAGCATACAGGATTTTATTCAACGCAGTCCTTATGTGCTTGATGAAGCAACTCACGTAGCTAAAGGGCTTGCTTTAGATGGTATATTATTTTGATTTTATTTTTAAAGGGAAATCTGCTTGCACCAGGCTGTTTTTAGAAGCTGGTAACTCAACTTGTCCCTTCTGTTTTTCGAAACTCAAAGCAAAATTTAATGAAGAGCCAGGGTGAAATGACCAAGATATAAGCTGAGCTCATGTATCGTTGCCCTAGTCAAGACAGAAGTGTGACATTATTTAGAAGTGTTTGGGAGATCAGAAGTCATTTAAGAAAAACTGTTTGATCTTACACAGTGAGGCAAATGAGGAGTACTATAATGTGTTTTCCCCATAGGTTTGCTGTTGAGACAGTAAGAAAAGCCTGGTAAATAATAAAACGTTAAACTACAATGAAATTATCTTCTCTGCCTGTTATATGACTGATATCAACTTCATTAGTTCTAATACTAAGCTTTATAAACAACAACAGTTGAAACATTATATGAGCTTTTAAAAACAGTATTTCTCATTCAAAATTAACATGATATAATTAAGTTGATGACATATCACCTGGAAGCTGGAAGGCTTCAGCTAAGAATAAATAATAAGCAAAGTCAGCAAAGGCACTTTGTAGGAACACTACCCAGTCCAAAGCTGAGCAACTTGGAGCCACCCAGTGTCCTCAAACTGCAGATGAAGGGTGCTCACCAACAATCTGCAACTGTTTCTCTTGTATTCTTAATTATTTGAAGGTTTAGTTTAAAGCAAATGCCATAAATTGGTGCAGATGAATCTGCTAGCATGTCAAATTGTTAAAGGATGTGGTTGCCCAGATGCATCCTTTACAAAAGGGAAGCAAAGCAAAGGCTTTTTGACTGTCTAGGTCAGAACAATCCTGTTCATCTCCACCAGAGTCACAGCACATTCTGTAAACTGCATCAGTATTTCAGAGGAAGCAAAGAGTAAGACCAGAGAAGTCAGTTAAGACCTCAGCAGTTCATCGGAAAACTCCTCATGTATCTTCAAGTTTTCCAGGTTGGTAGTATTTGCAGAAGTAGTACTGCAATGTGCCTCTGACTTTTATTTGGCAGAAGTGAAATAACTCCACTTGAGTGATTGAAATGCCATTTATCCATACAAAAATAAACCAACCATACACACAGTTGCAATCCAATAATTAAGAAAATCTTACAGGATTTTTCTTGCAGGATGGGGCAGTTTGGGATTCAAATAAAGAGAAGGTTAATTGTGCCCGTTTGCAGGAGACTGTACAGCTGCCATTACCTTACACAAGAGGGAAGCAGAGAGAAGCCTCTGCCTAACAACCCAAGCATTAGAGATGGAACAAGTAAGGAGAAATAAACCCAGCTCAAAACCTTCCTGATGTCTGTGGACTGGAATCCCCCTCAGTTTCCTTCCCACCCCCACCTCAGAACAACACCTCTGCAGTTCCTAGAGTAGCTTAAGATCTGAAGTGTATGTATATATATATTCATATATATCTCAGAAGGTTTTTTTTCGGACCATTTTTTTTTTTTTGGAAGCTGATGAATTAATTAACAAAATCAACATATGAGCTGTGACATATTTACTCAGTGATTCCCATCAAATGTGGCAGATTTAAGAGGACGGCTCTGTTGTCCCTCTGTTCTCTGCACCTGAGACAGCTAAATGCACCATGAAGACCTTACTGAGCTCCTGTTCCAAGCCTCATCCTGGTCAACATAGAGATTCCTTTTGACCTTCCTGGAAGCTGGATTAGGCCTTTAAAAACCATACATTTTAAAACATTCCATGAAGGTTATGTTTGCTCTAAAACCACAGTGAAGTAAATGCAAAACTATATTAATATTTAACATTGGCTTATAAAAACTAGGAACTTGTAGTCAGGACAGCTGGTAAATTTCAATTCACATCATCGTTTCAAAATGAAAATGCAGAAGAGGACAGAATATCACATTTTCATGTTCAAAATTTATTTGTTTTTCTTTAAAATCCAGTTTTGTTATTTATAAAGCTATATCTGTTCAATAGCCATGAAAAATATTTTTCATTTATACAAATTTTTTGTTTACTTTTCCAATCTGGTGGTACTGATTACACTTAAAGAAATCAAAATAGGGAAAAAAAGGGTCAGAGGGAAAAAAAAAAGAAGAGAGTAGATTAGTTAAAAGAAAAACAAACACAAATATTGTGCTTGTGGACTGTATTTAGGGGTTGGCCAGAAGTCTAATGTCTTGATAGATGGCTCTGGGCGCGCAGTTTTATTGCTGGTACACAGCACACTTTGTTCCTTTTGTTACACTAAACTTGCCAACTCTGGAAATTAGTGACATGGGCATTCAAAATGTTGGACAAGTGGTCAGACTCTGATATACATATTCATACCCCAGCGGTAAATTATAGCAGGAAGCTTCAGATACAGGAAAAATGAATTCTTTTGTTCAGCATGGCTTTAATATAATGCTTGTTTTGCAAGCACTTTCACCGTTCGAGCAGGAGTGCCTCTTAGACAGCACACAGGGGAGACATCATTTAAAGAAATGTTTCTTTGCTTGAACCAGAAGTCCAAATCTGCTCAGTTAATTTAAAATATTTTTTTCCTCCAGGATAAATGAATAAGCAGTTCCTTTTGTGGTTTTTGCTTGGTGAATTGCAATTATTCTTCCAGAAGAAAAAGGATCGGATGCTCATATGAACAGATGTGTCCCTCCTTCCCAGCCCCACACACACTCTCTCCCTTTAGAAAATATAGGTGACAGGCCTCGTGTCTGACTAAAAGAGGCTATAAATCTTCTGGGAATATGCTGCTATGTCTTTGAGCGTAAAAAGTATCGAGGAAGGAAAACAGGTTAAAAAGCAAAGGGTCCTTGCAATAAGGCATGCGCTGTGCTTGGTTTTTTAACCCTTAGAAACACAGGGCTGCTTTAATAAACTGCCAGTGCAGGAGACCCTTCTGCTTCGCGGCGTCAGGCTGGCGGGGAGGCAGGGGCACGTTTGGGTGTGCGGGACGGAATATTCCCGCACTCCAGCTCCGCAGGTCTCGCGCAGAGGCCGGGCACGGGGCATGCCGAGAGGAAGACGCCCCCAGAACGCTAAGGCTGACCTGGCCCAATCCCTCCGCACCCAGCCCCATCCGACCGATAGGTAAGGAGCGGGGCCAGCCCAGCCGCGAGGGCCGGGAGGACAGCGAGGTGCGGGGCGATGCTGCGGGGACGGAGGGCGCGGGAGGCGACAGGAGCCGCGGCAGGTGAACGCGGGCGCGGCCCCGCGGGGGCGCGGCTGCGGGGGCCGGGTGTGTGTGTGTTGGGGGGGGAGCTGCCCCCCAGCTCCCGGACGCGGCGCAGGAGGCCCCGCACGGCACCCGGGGCCGCCCCCTGCTCGCCCCGTCGGGGCGGGCGGGCAGCGGGGCGGCGGCGGCGGGGAGATGGCGGGGCGGCGGCGGGAGCTGCCGCTGCTGCTGCTTCGTTGCCTCCTGCTGGGGCTGCTGGGCGGCGGGGGCGGGGGCCAGCCCGGCGGCGGCGAGTACTGCCACGGCTGGGTAGACGGGCAGGGCGGCTACCACGAGGGCTTCCAGTGCCCCGAGGGCTTCGACACGGCGGCCGCCACCATCTGCTGCGGCTCCTGCGCGCTGCGCTACTGCTGTGCCGCCGCCGAGGCTCGCCTGGAGCAGGGAGGCTGCACCAACGACCGGGAGCCCCCGGACCCGGGAGTCACCGCCCGTGAGTGCCCGGCCGCGCGTCCCGAGGCGGGCGGGAGCCAGTCCCCACGGAGCATCCCCCGGCCCGAGCCCGGCTGCGGGGCTCCCTGCCCCGTCCCATCGGGTGGGCAGGAGGCGGGCGCGGCTCCAGGTGCGCACGGGGCGGTGGCGCCGGGAGCGCGGCTGCGGAGCGGCCCCTGCGCCGGGAAACAGAGCGGGCGCCCGGGGTGCGAGAGGGGAGGGGCAGCTCCGCGGTCCGAGGGGACCGGCTGCTGGAGTCATCTCGACTGAAAGGCACACTTATATTTTATGTTCGCATGGGCAAACTTTGCTGTGCCTGTTTAACTTTGTTGCTCCCGGAGGTGAGAGTGGTGCTCTGCAGGCACAGCCCCACCGTGCGAGGGACCGTCAGTTTCCCAAACAAAAGGAATCCGGCAGCGCACACGGAGACTGGTTTCCCAAGTCAGACGTTCTGAGCTTATCTTCCACCTTTCGAATGGAAGTGATTTAACAGCACCTGCAGCATTTGAGCTTCGCCTGCAGATTCATGGTGTTATATTAGACAGTCCCGACGGTCTGGGGAATGAGGGAGGAGGACAGGAGTGAGATTCTTGAGCAGTGCCCAAGAACCAGCAAGCAGAACATGGTATAAACAGCTTTTACCTTTGGTAACTAGTAAACTGTCAAAAGAAAGAAATTTTTATTTCCCTGGAACCTACAAGGTTTAAACTTTAATTTTGTTTCAGTGATAATGGTTGAAAGTTCTGTCTTCTGAGCAGCTCAGTGTGTTAGTGGGACTGAAATGGGCGGCTTTATAAATGGTGTGGAGTTTATATTTCTATACAGCAGACCTATTATTTCAGTAGGCTAATTTGCACGGCTTTTCTTTTTCTTTCTTCTCCCAGAACCAATCTACGTTCCATTCCTCATTGTTGGATCAATATTTATTGCCTTCATTATTGTGGGCTCGCTGGTAGCCGTTTATTGTTGCACATGTTTGAGACCTAAACAACCATCGCAACCAATACGATTTTCTCTGCGGAGCTATCAGACCGAGGCTCTTCCCATGATCCTGGCCTCCACAAGCTTCAGGACACCATCCAGGCAGTCCAGTACCGCGACAAGTTCCAGTTCAACTGGTGGCTCAGTTCGGAGGTTCTCCTTCCCCCGGGCAGAGCCAGGGTGCCTTGTGGCGTCACCACCTCCACCGTACACATCTGGCTGCTTCCAGACAGCCCACACAGTCCACCTGACCCAGCCAACCGGATTTCTGGTGTCACCACCGTACTTTGGGTATCCTCTCCAGCCAGAACCTGCCCTGGCTGGGAAGAGCTGCTCTGATTTTACTCAGAGCTGAAAAGAGTTGTGAAGAAGTAACACAGCCTTCAGAAGCAGAGGGACTGCTGCCGGTGGGTGTCACACTGATGTGCTGTGTGAGTGTAGTAGTCAGAACTGTTCCTGTGGGTGAGTTGCCCTTGAAAAGTACAAGGTCTCGCTTGGGATTGCATTTCCCAAACTTGGATCACACTCACAAATGAGCTGTAAAACATCCCAAACTGTTGCTCTAGAAATGGACTGCTTTGATCGCTCAGCCTAATTTGTGCAGAATGTGTTTAGAGACAAGTAAAAGAACCATTTTAGGATAAAGGTACTCATTTCACAGTGTAATAAATAACATTTTACTAGGGTAAAATGCAGTTAACTTAGTTAACAAACAGTGGCTGCATTCCACTAATAATAATCGGACTAGTTCTATAAAGCAGCAATAAGCCTGAGAAGTAAGAGAGAAGTAATACTTACTAAAGAGGATACCTGAAACGGCTGACTGCTTACTACTTTCATGAGCAGTGAAAAGGAAGAATTTTATTAGATATCAAAATGCACAGATTTTTAAAAAATACACATACCTGAACTTACACTGCATATTTGTAATAGTAAACTTTAACTATGATAGATAAAACTAGTACTAATTAGGCTAGTTGAAAATAAGCCAGTCTCAAGTAGCCAAATTACCTTTAAGGGAAGCAGAATGTATTCAGCAATATCACCAATAACTTCTCCACATAAAATTCTAAGAATTGTGTTCTACATAAAGCATTTTTCAGAAGGAAGTATTTATTGTCAGCTTTTTGCTCAGCAAGGTGTAAGTTGGACTGATCATGAAGTTCTTTTTTGTAAAATTAGCCATGTATAAAATGTAAAGAAAAGCTTGTAATTTAAAATGTATTTACAGTATTGACAACACTAATTATTCAGTAGTCACACACACAAACAAATTACCAATAAACTGTGTGGTTGAAATGTTGTGTCATCTGTATGACTCTGTACTGGTAGTGTTTGATGATTCTGATTGGTGTAACTACTCTGTATTTTTTCCTGTTAAAATAGCTTATTTTGCTTTTTAAAATGATTTACATCTTCAGCTGCACCTGTTGTGCAGATTTAATATAATATAAAATTCTGATTATATCGCAAACTAATAGATTCATTAAAGTCTTTTACATGCAGCTGTGGTGAACATGACACTGATTAGCTGCTATTTTAGACTAAACGTCCTGCACTAGGAATAAATTTTGTTTGCCCTTCTACATTCCTTCACCCAAGTAAACCAACAAACCAAATGGAAGAAGAAAAAAAAGTATCTAAACCAAACACGTAGTAAGCAAATGTAAAATACACATGAAAAAAATGCAGTCATTAAATGGCTTCTCTGTATACTTATTTTTGTGAACAAACGAAGTCATTCTGTGAGTCAGAATCTACAATATCAAAGGCTGAGCTTTCCTGTTTTATCAGCCTTAAACTCCCTGTGTATAGAATCTGTTAAAGTACCTTATAGGTGACCTATCTTACAAGTATTTTAGAAAAGCTTCATTGGTTCTTCCTCAAGAGTTGAATACGTTTTTTTCTAACAAATATCTAGTAATCAGTAGTTATGACAAAAATATTTTGAAATAACCCTTTTAATATGTTTGTTATTGCACAATTAACATTACAATCCAACAGACATTACTGCTGGTAATGCGGTTTCTAAGCAGAAAGACAAGTTGTACACAATGATGTTTTAAGTAATAGACTTTAGCTTGAATGCTGTAATTGTTAATTACAACCTAAATCATGATATACAGTCTTGTATAAGTTTTACTAAAAATTAGATTTTAAGCACTTGGGAAGTTAATTGAAGGGTAAGTGTTCAGGCTTGCAATTTTATTTTAGAAACAAGCTTCAAGGGCAGGTACATTTTTGGTCACCTATGATGTTTCATAGGACTCTTCCCGCATATTTTGAATAGCTACTAGGTATGGGACTGTTCATCAAGTAACTTTTTTGAAAAATCACTGAATATGGCAATAGGTATCAGCCCTGTTATTTGGAAGCATGCTGTGAGATCTGCTGACCATTCCTGTATACAGCAGAAACAGTAAACCAATTAAACTGGATTTTTACAAGTATAGTAGAGACTTTATAGTAAGTCTCCAATTAGTAAAAATCTCTATCTAGTAAACCGAGGCAACACAGACCCCTTCGGGAAGCAGACACTTCATCAATTTTAACTAAGAAGGTGCAATTTATTTACCTTTAAAGAGTAATTAAGCCATCAAAGGAACTGACACAGGTGGTGAGTGGCTGAAATTCAGTGTTTTCATCAAAGAAAGGCTGTATGCAGCAAAGATAGCTGTGAGTTGGGCTCAGTCACTGCCCCTTTCCATTCGGTGCTGTACACCGAACAGGCCAGGCTGCTTCACTGCGACGGTCTCAGTGGGCTCTGCAGTCAGAGTTTTAACACAGGGACAGTTTTTGATACACTTGCATACAGCTTTAGACTGTAATGATTATTCAGCCCAAGGAGAGGCTGTGAAGTCTGCCATTTAGAGTGAAACTCAGTCTAGCAAGGAAGACACCTCTGAGCCACTTCCGTTCTTCCCCTGATGCTGAATAATGGGTTTGTTCTCATAAAATGCTTGAATAACTTGACACACAGGAATAATTTCATTGAATCAGACTTAGATAAGCCTGTGACTTTATAGAGTGCTAACTACTTCACAGATCAGTAGCCAGAGTGCAGTAAGTCCTGGAGATGGTGTTGTAAGGGTGGGAAAGATCATGTATAGTTAAAATAGCTGTACTGGGTTACCTGTGATGCAGGTGAGGTGGGGATTATGCACCATCTGCAAATGGATAGACAAAAAAGAATCTGTAAATTAAAAAGAATCTATTATTGTTCATGTAGGTACAGTACAGTAGCTAAAGGGAGAGAAAAGCAGGTGGCCAGAATACAAGCCTATGGATGGAAATGCTTGTTGCCTGTGCCTGTGGTTTCCGACCCAGATGGATTCGGTGTGCGGGCAAGAATGTTGAATTGCCTTCCTAATGAAAAGGACCTATTGGCACTAGATACTCCTACAATTGATAGGAAATTTTCCTAAAACTTGCAGACAGAACAAAAATGACATTCTGGTAAGAGTTTTAATGACTAATGAAACAGTTTGAAGGGCTGGATGTAAGCTTGAACCAAAAGCAATTGCTTGCTATCAGAAGTAACATTTACAGGCAGTACTTACATTACTGCCACATTAACAAAGTAGATTTAACTATTTCTTCTGTAATTCTGGAGTTAGTTCATACTCCTTTTTCTAGGGTGATTTCAATCTAAAATCAAAATGAAAGAATATTCACACAATAAATGTCATTCATACATGATGCAATAAATGCTTTGCTTGCCATTACTTGGTAATGACTTAGATGAAACTCAAGTCTTCTGTGGATTACAAATAATAGTAACATGCCATTTGTTTTGTGTTTCTGCACTTTGGTATTCTTAAGCAGGTATCTCCAAAATGTAACAAGACTCTCCAGTGCTAGGATAAACATTACAAGTACTTGCAAGAATGCCTGAAGGATTTTTGAAACTAGGTAAGCAGTATAGTATATGGCTATGTAAACTCATGGATTATTTGTCGTACTAATCCCACTTGAATTTAAAAAACAAAGTGACAATTTCAAAATTATTTTGCCATTACTGTTCAGTTACAGCTTGACAGCAACACCAAGGAGATGAAGTCTGTTTTCAGTGTGCTGTTTTGCTGCCTATTGTGATGTGCTGTGTGGACTTGAAGTACTCTGAACGGTGTGTATGCTTTTGAGGTGGCTACTGCTCCACAGTACTCATGGAAACAGTTTTTGACTCACAGTTACATTGAGGCTATAATTCCATGCTATCCTGTTTTCATTAGCGAAGGCACAAGAAATGCTTTTCTGTTCTTTTTATTCTTTCCATCTATGACTTGTGTAATAGGGGGCTGTAGTGTATATCAGGTCAGTGAAATGATTTTAGTTTAAAAATAATGTTTGCCATAAGAAAGGAGGAAAAGGATTTGAAAGGGAGCCTGGATCATTATAAACTGCATTATAACCTGAATAATTTCAATGTCCCCATGCTGCCAGTGTATTAGAGGTGGTGACATACCACAAAGTGGAACATGCTTAAACCCACTCTACCACTAAAAGACTGGGTCTCGTGAAACCAGCGACATCTAAGATCTATTATCAAACCTGCTTGCACAGAATACAAAATAAATTCATTGTCTAGTGCATATATAAAGAATCAGTCACCTATTTACAACCAAAACTTAGTTTAGGTTTGAATGTATTGATTTTTATTCAGTGGCAGGCACTGTTACAGGAACGAAATACCCACTATTATCATAGCCAAAGGATACAGTATTTATCACTGTCATCTGAAAGGGAGGTGATGTTTCCTTATTCCCACTCTTACCATTCTGGTACTGCATACTTCTCTTTCAAAATATGGTATTACCACCGGAGTATGTTAGGGCTCAGCTGGAAGTCACTAAATTGCAGATACCAGTGCTCCTTGTTTGTTTGGTTGGTTTTTTTTTAAACCTTTTCTGGACTTCACATGACAACTGAAGAAGACATCTCAAAATAAATGTTTTTAAAAAACCCCAACACAAAAAACCTTAAAACAATTTCCTATGTTTCAGTTTACCTTAATAAACATAGGAACTCTTTGGTATTTGTGTAATACTATTTCTGGTATGTTCCATTTTATACAATTCAAACCCAAGAGTGACAAGATACATTTTCTTCTGAAAGTAATCACTAGCATTTCCAACCAATCAAGTCAACAAAGCTTCTTAATTTAATGGCAAAGTTTATTCATTTTTTAACAATTAAAAGACAAAACATTTAAAATTTGCAGTTCAAAACATGCACATTCACCAAATGCCAAATGACATTTAACACTGCATAGAACTGAATGTGTTACTAAAAGAACTATTTAAAAAACACAGTGCATTTAACATCCAGTTAAAACTAAACCTGAGAAACTACCATAAACACCGAGTCAAAAAATCTTCATTCATGCAGCTTCATAATTTCCATGACAGTTTCAGCAGTAATGGCCTAGTGCAGCTGTAAAACCTCACTTTACCTTGAATGCAAATTCTGCTGTTTCGGACTGACCGCTTCTGCAGTGGTTCATACATATCAAACACTGAAAATCGTAACGAAAAATTGCGCTGAAGTAGAAAAACAATATTGATGCATTTATGGCTTCTATTCTACATTAAAGAAACACCATAAAATATGATTAAAAAAAAAGTCTTGTTCTGGTCACAGCTTTGCAATTACAAATCACACTCCACATGGATATACTTTTATTTCAGTATCAGCCCTCTAAAGTACCCAACTTTGCACATCATTGCTCAGATGAGTAGTGCTTATACTGACAGGCAGTCCAGTTGAAGCCTATGTGAGTAACACTTTGCATAAGCAGGAACCAAGTTTGGAATGCTAAAATATTCCTTTGTTTAATAAAGATCTATTGGTTAACAGCGAGGAAACTGGGGAAGTGAGGGCGGGGGGAGGAAGGAGAAACTCATTTGTTGAGTTTTGTTAAGAGTGAAAACATCCAGTACCAAGGAAGCTGAACCGACAAACTCATGTGCTTAAATAGCGCTAGCTTCTTGATATATTATGAGCAGACTTTTAACGAAGGCATTAAAAACCAGGAATCAACAACCACCATGCATTGCTTCAGAACACATTTAGATATAGTGCCTCATGCAGACAGAATGATAAATTCATCAGAACTACAAGTGCTTTTTACACAACACAGAAGAAAAAATGGAAAAAACATCTCTCCTTAAATTTATCACATATGCCAAATTACTCATCATTCAAGATGGGTTCAAATGTCGTGACAGAAGTCTTAAGACACTTAATGCTCATCTTTGTAACATGGTGAATTTTATGGATGCACGTGGATGTATAGGAATCTTCAGCTATCTCTTAGTGTTGCAAAATATTTTATTTATCATTTTATACAAATAGAATGATGACTAAGTATAAATCTGTCGAAACTGCTTT